ACTGCTGTGGATAAAATGAGCGTTGATGAAATGGACAAATAGCAAGGCTGATCGATGCAAGCAAGCCAATAGGTAAACATTTCGTCTTGTCCTTTTTGCCTTCTTGGCCATCCACTTGTGGGGTAGGGCTGTCCCAGACCCACCTTGAAATGGTTAGGCTGGCCGACCCCGGTCGAGCGGGTGAGGGCTACAGTGTACAGTGTACAGTGTACAGTGTACGGTTGACGGTCGGCAGGGAGGAATACTGTACTGTACTGTAGATGGGGGAAAATGCCTCAACTTGCTATGACTAGTCTACCACTGGTACACTCCATTGTTGCGTATACTCTTGTATGGATTATATCACCGACTATTTTCCTTTGCAGTCGACCATGGGCACTACGCGTCCACACCGGTCCAAGGGGGGCAAACAAACACGTGAGCGCCGACTTGTGGGTAGAAAGTCGATGGAGCCAACAAACGACGATAGTGTGTATGGGTTGGGCAGTCATGTTTGTGCATGAGCCAACGTCATGGTCTGCTCCGACTTGACGCCATCACTTCTGCCCGTCCAAGCGTCTGTAGTACAGGACAGTAACCCATAGTAACCCATACCCAGAGTCGACTCCAGTGTGTCGTTGTGACACAATTGTCGACACCAACACCGCCTCCAATCATAGCGTCATCATCCAATCCATGACACTTATCACGTGACCACCGGCAACAAGGTTGACCATCGACCGGTCAACCGTGTACGCTGACTCGATTGCTCGTCCTTTCAACGGTACCAAAGTCGACTGACTTAATCCATCTTCACCACACCTTCAATTTGACCAATTTCGATCTTACCATCTTCTCCATATTGCTCATATTGGATTACAAGGATAGTTATATTGCATATCGTTCTATCTCACCATCTACTCGATATTGCTCAATCGACTATGGTGTAGCGATGCACCCATATTGCATTACAAGGATAGTTATATTGCATATCGTTCTGTTTGACCATCTACTCGATATTGCTCAATTGACTATGGTGTAGTGATGCACCCATATTGCATTACAAGGATAGCTATGTTGCATATCGTTCTATCTCACCATCTACTCCATATTGCTCAATCGACTATGGTGTAGTGATGCACCCATATTGCATTACAAGGATAGCTATGTTGCATATCGTTCTATCTCACCATCTACTCCATATTGCTCAATCGACTATGGTGTAGTGATGCACCCATATTGCATTACAAGGATAGTTATATTCAATATCGTTCTATCTCACCATCTACTCGATATTGCTCAATCGACCATCGGATAGTGATGCACCCATATTGCATTACAAGGATAGCTATATTGCATATCCATTCTGTTTGACCATCTACTCCATATTGCTCAATCGACCATAGTGTAGTGATGCACCCATATTGCATTACAAGGATAGTTATATTGCATATCGTTCTGTTTGACCATCTACTCGATATTGCTCAATCGACTATGGTGTAGTGATGCACCCATATTGCATTACAAGGATAGTTATATTGCATATCGTTCTGTTTGACCATCTACTCGATATTGCTCAATCGACTATGGTGTAGCGATGCACCCATATTGCATTACAAGGATAGTTATATTCAATATCGTTCTATCTCACCATCTACTCGATATTGCTCAATCGACTATGGTGTAGCGATGCACCCATATTGCATTACAAGGATAGTTATATTCAATATCGTTCTATCTCACCATCTACTCGATATTGCTCAATCGACTATGGTGTAGCGATGCACCCATATTGCATTACAAGGATAGTTATATTGCATATCGTTCTGTTTGACCATCTACTCGATATTGCTCAATCGACTATGGTGTAGTGATGCACCCATATTGCATTACAAGGATAGTTATATTGCATATCGTTCTGTTTGACCATCTACTCGATATTGCTCAATCGACTATGGTGTAGTGATGCACCCATATTGCATTACAAGGATAGCTATGTTGCATATCGTTCTATCTCACCATCTACTCCATATTGCTCAATCGACTATGGTGTAGTGATGCACCCATATTGCATTACAAGGATAGCTATATTGCATATCCATTCTGTTTGACCATCTACTCCATATTGCTCAATCGACCATGGTGTAGTGATGCACCCATATTGCATTACAAGGATAGCTATATTGCATATCGTTCTGTTTGACCATTTTCCATCACCTATCTTACCATCTACTCGATATTACTCAATCGACTATGGTGTAGTGATGCACCCATATTGCATTACAAGAATAGTTATATTCAATATCGTTCTATCTCACCATCTACTCGATATTGCTCAATCGACCATGGTATAGTGATGCACACATATTGCATTACAAGGATAGCTATACTTGATTATTCATTATTTCAACGGTACCTACATGTCGTGATTTCAGCTAATTACAGTAGTTTTGTGTAGGCAATACACTACACTACATTAGACCCCGCTAGTTTATCCCCAATTTCTTGGTAGACTTGGCCGAAACGATCGCACTGAGAAATGGATGAATTTCCCTATTTTTATTCTATAGAAATGTGAAGTGGTGTATGACATAAGCTTCAGTACAATAGTTTCAGCCAAGTATTTTAAAAATATTCTATCAACTAGCGTGACAGTACAGCAAACTGCTAACGCGAGTTTCGCTAGTATAGATAAAGACAGTAATCACCAAAAAGCCAGTCGTAAAATTCGCTTATCCCACGCGTTGTATTATTCGTTCATCGCCATGCAATCGATGATGTACATACTGTGTACTAATGCAGTACTACATTGATCGTATTACTGTACCAATACTATGCAACAGCATCGTAGCGTAGACAGTATTTTGCTGTACATCTTGCAATGGACGCTAGTTGGTTAATCCCTAGGGATTTTTCAATCATCAATCCCGCCTTGATTGCCGTAGCCGGCGGCACAGCACTTCTTTAGAGCCATATCCATCGATTAACCCAATTCAATATGTTATATAATCCAGTACGGACGCGTATGAATTCGATTATTATCGCGAAAGAGTAATATGCAAAAAATCTTTTACAAGACGATACCATATGGTAGTGTAATCGATTGTAGAGGCGCAGGTACTAGCCAATTGGACTGCCAATTTCATGTCTCACAATATACCCAACTTTTCTCAGATCCATGTCTAATCATAATGTCAAGATAAAGACCTCAGAAATACCCTCTACGTGTCTATTTTTGGTAACCACACATTGCATACAATCAACCTGGACGAGAACATCTACTCGCCTATATTATCTTGTATAATAGTAGTGTCCTCCTTACAACCAAGATTGCGCTAGCTTTCAAGGAAGGAGTTGCTGGCGGAAACGGTTATGCTACGCGTATGCGCCGTATTATTTTATTCCTTGCAGACATTGGACTGTAGGGTACTTCAACATTTTGAAAGGATATCAAATCAGTTAAAATCGGCTTTCCATCCAATTTCATCACAACCAATCAGCCACTATCAATTTTCCGATATCATCACAATATGTCAGAGAGCCTTTAATCGCGCACTGATATACAACGTAGTGCCCATACGACAAAGATTGCGCTTGATTTCAAATAAGGGTATATTATACGTCGTATTATTTTATTCCTAACAGGCATTAGACGGTAGGATAATTCAACATTTTAAAGGATATCAAACCAGTTGAAATCAGCCTTCGATTGAATTCGTCATAACAAATTAACAATCATTCGATATCATAACAATATTTCAAAAATAAATCATCAGGCAATAGAATAAATAAGCAATCTCCTCATCGATGATTGTATGGAGCACTGATTGACACTGACAAACTAGCAAGAAAATAAGAATGACCAACATTTATTGCTAACACCGACCGATGAGGACGTGTTATGCAGTAAACCCAACATTTTCGTCATCCTATTACTACAGTGGCTTAGAAACGCAATTCAAGTTGGTAGAGTATTTAAAATATCATTCACTTTTTGGCCTGAGTCTTCGATATCGTGTAAAATAGCAGATGCAATAAATAAATACTGTACTACAACGACGATGTACATAAAGTCTACATTACTATACACGTACAACACTAGTCTACGCACACACACAGTATACTTTTTGCAGTATGCAGTATAGTCAATGGAGATAAATATAACTGTAATGACTTTCTATTGACGAGCGATACAAAAAGAAATTGAAACACATCGTTGTAGTAGCAACTACAAATAAACAACACATATATAACATTCATTTATAAATACCTAAATGGATTGCCTACGTACAACGTCGGCGTAGCTTAGGCAAAGCTAACTATTAGTAGCAGATATGCAATCATATTACATAAGAAGTAGGTCAATATTCCAAATAAAAAATACACAATCTTTCACTACATTACGAGACATAATATAATAGTGTCATCATCATAATGATGTAAGCCTGTACGATAATTTGCGAGTATATTACTACAAGTCTCGAGTTTAACCAATTCAGCAATGAGACACGCTTATAAATACAGTAACCTTTCCTTACAACATCTATATCAGAATTTTACATTTATGGTTGTTAATAATACCTCATCACTTGTTAATGGCTGATTGACATAAAATTCTTATTATTACAGTATGTTACTGATTACTGGTTGCTACTATCCTATCTCGGTAAAATAGTTCGGATAGTCTGTTATAAAACATTTATCTTCTACTGTATATTTGGAAATTGTCTATTTATACACTTTTACAAAATACCTTTCTTTTCCAATGACAGCATTACTTCACAGGACATATTGGTAGAATTACGCGTAGCAGATTGATGACCGAGACAGTGATAAAAGAATTTTCAACATCACTTGCATGCATAATTCTAACTATTTCAACCACTTTTATCATGAATTAGTCATTATCGATACTGTACTTCAACTACAGCGGTAAAGAAATTTAATCTTTTCTACGGCTATACTACAGATGGTAATCTACAGCTTGTATAGTCTTTGATCGCAATTTGAAATTGAATCGTTTAATTCAAAAACTTTCGACATTTCTTTGAACTACAGTTACACGGTAATTTAATATCTTCTTTCGCAAAGTTATAATCGTATGTCAGTTCTTCTCCAGGATAGATTCTGCAATATTGTACAATATACTCATCGTCAACGTTACAGACCGAATCTACTATGCTACATACAGCATGATAATATTCTATTATAGCGTCTACGTTACCTTCGTAAAGCAAAGATTATGATCTTCTTAATATTGTCAATAGGTACAATTTTGCAATAACAATTAGGATCACAGGAATGATTAATAAATCTAGCTGCATTGCCACTAAGAGTGGCATCAATGACCTCATCACGATCGATCCTAAACATGTAACAACCTAAACCCTAGGGCAATCATTAAATTAAAAAGATAGAATTAACGTTCAAGATACAATTATTATCGAATTAGATTCGTTCAAGACTGATTCTGGCTTGCCTTCCAGATAAAATACTTACTTTGCCTTCGTAATACTTTTCCTGCTTATCGGTTAAAATTGATCGAATTTTAGTACCAGCATATTCCATAATCATTTCTCCGGCTTCAATAATCCTTTTACAAAACAATCCCCGTCCGTGGATATCTGATCTATAAACGCCTACAGTTTCTTTCGCAGTTGCGGCTAAATGACGATATCTCATAGCCATAGGTAGTTCCAAACCAGTTGCTCGACTATAAGTAAAATACAGTCCAGTCGAATATAAATAATACTATACTACTGGACCAAGATGGACCTAAAGGTCCGATAAAATTTAACATAACTAGTTATTATACCGTATAGCAAGGGCTTCATCAACAGCTTTACTTGGAATATTGTCAGTTTGTAATTCACTTAATGTCGAAACTTTGCGATATGGTGACATTAAAAAGCTAAACATATCATAGTGTGATGTACGGCGATACACTTCAGTTCGGATACAACCGCTAGGATTAGGAACAATAACCTTCAATTTGAAAATTATAATTATTAGCTAGCATTTTAGTCAAAAGCACCATTGAATAACAAATTCATTCCACAACGATACCGTAACCTTTAACATAATGAATAAAACACATTTTAATCTTTTCTATATGTAGCCTACCTACCTCTGAAAATCGCTGAGCATGAAATTGAAATTCATAATTTTTAAAAGTCACTGGAGCTGATAACTGTTCAATGATAAATTTGACAGGTTCCTGTGTTAAACAAAAAAATAAATAAATTATAAACATATTTATTAATAACTAACAACATTTGTAGTACAATACACCTTCGACCAACATCACATGAAAACTTTTTTAAAAAGAATTAGCGGAGAATTAACATAGATACGCAAGGAGGTAAAGATTAGACTGGATAATACGCGTATAACCTTAGTTAATCCAAACACGTCCAGACCAACGAAATCTACAAGCAAATATTAAAATTTTAATCTGAACAGATCAACGCGCATAAATTGTAAGAATAAAACTACTATAAGATAGACAATACCGTCCAAGGCTCTATGACGATCTTTCAATTGTGGGTTAATCTGACAAGCCAGCTTCTTGATTAATTTCCAACCCTTGTTACAGGTATCAGTTTTAATACTGAAACCGTCTGAGCTTTCTAAATGGAATTCTAATGTTGACTTGTACAAGCGCTTCTTCGATTGTTTGGTATTGATTCCCTTTGCTTTCTTATAAGATCTACCACTAACTGCACTTTGAGTTGTACTTTCGTTACTACATTGGGCGTCTGAATTATCAGTCATGGACATGTCAGAAGTAGCTTGATTGGACTGTACATCGCTTTGTTTATCAGATTGCTCAGACAATGTGCTATTCAAGTTTAGAGGTACATTGCTATTTAGATTTGAAGCCACACTGTTTAAGTTTGAAGAGGGGTTACTATTTAAAATGGAAGGCGGACTGCTGATGGCGTAATTTTGATGCTGGACTTGATTAGGCGGTACGTACATATAGGACATTCCAGAATTAACGACGTAATTTGGTACGTAGTAGTAAAATGTTTCTCCAATCTTGACCAAAGGTGACACTTGCGTATTGATTGGCATAGGACTAGTTGTATGATTATAGTTGTAATTACAAGGCCAGTTCAATGGAACATTCCAGTATGCTGCAGTATTCTGGTAGCCTGAAGGGTTTATGTTTGATGCTGAAGGCGTAGACTGGTGATGATATTGTAACCCACGGTTGCAAGAATCTGAAACGTTAGCTATGACGTTGTTGTTATTTGTAACTGTACTAAGATTACTGATAACATGCCGATCTTTATTATTAGCGATACCGCTAGTACTGCTATAGCTTGTTGTGCCGGACTGAATATGAGATATGGATTGTATACGTACATCACTCGGTGATCCTTGATCTGTTATAGACTTATGGTCTGATAGCGTATTGTCACAGCTTGTATCATTCGTTGTAATAAACTCATTTTCAGCAGACTGTTCTTCAACTAACTCGTCAACCGGTGAGAAATTTTCATGAACGTGGGTATAATGTTCCAATTCTTTATTGTTTTGATTACTTCGAACTGCACGTTTCTTCTTATGAACTGTTAAAGTGTATGTACAAATGGTTCCGGGATATTTTGTACTCCAAAATGATACAGTAGCTCTAATTCAAGAACAGTTTAGAGATTGAATTAACGTGACTTTAAAATGCTTACTACACTAACGCAAGAAATACAAATTACCTATAGTTAACTGGAATTAAAACATTCGTCCAATCGGATAACTCATCTAAACTGCCCAATGATTTTATCTCTAGTGATCCTATAAATTAATATATCAAAACATGTATAGCCAAATTTATTACTATTACTCTATAATAAATAATAATTGACCCTGAGTAGTATTAACGGAACAACTTATTATTAAGTTAAGATCTGTTAATTTACCTATTCTAATAGCTACCGATGAAGGCTCTACACCTTTTTTGACAATTTTCTTAAAACCTTGCAATTTAGTCATGTCAATAGTAAAGTGCTTTAACATTACTTGTGATTCGCTTGGACTAATCTGTCAAGATTAAAATTTTCAAAGTTGTCTAGGTGTAAATGCATTTCCCGATAACTTATCGCAATATAAATGAATTAGAAGATACTTACAGTATCGCGGTTATTTGCATGCAATTGGCAGAAGACTTTTCTGTCTCTAGTGAAAGCACACCCGTCCTCTCTGATAATAACAATATTGATATGATCATTCGTTAGCATGTTAGCGTTAAAAATACCGTTACAGCCTTATTATCGTAATTAACAGCTCAAAATACCGCGCGCATAGAAAATGATAGTTCCTTGTACATCGAGATTCACAGCATCCAATTGTTGCACCTAGCTCATGGCAAGCATCACATCGCTACAGGTATATTAAAACGCATCAAATTAACAAATAAACAACTATTACATTCAGTTTGAAAAATATTAAATTAGAATATTACATTACCATTTGTTTTCCGCGTGCACAAGCGATCTGCACATTTAGCAACTGTCCATCTTGATTTTCATAAACCTAGATCGAAATAGGTAATCGTTATCGATTGCTTTACTTTATTTCGTTGCGAGATCAATTCTTAAGCAAAATAGTAAAATGCAAGGATAAAATTGTTATAAACTTATTTACCTCAGCAGACCAAAGGGCACAATTTACATGTACCCATTCATCCAACATATAATATAATAATCTTCCTGCATTCTAATTTTTTTTATCAGATTTTTGAAATAGTTTAGAATTGAAATATGTTTATAAGATATTAAAGACAATGTATGGTACAACACATCATGCATTTGACTAACTTCTCCAGGACCATTTTCAGATTTACAGCATAAACTACATTGGCGTGTATCCTATAAAAATAAAAAAGCCAATTTGCATAGTGATTAAATATAGATCAACAATACCAGTAGAAGACAGTTAAGTGATGATTTCTTTCTATGGGACAATCATTAAGTATAATGGCAAACCTTCTGAAGGGGTATTTCTTTTCGCTCTGTAGGCGGGTTATCGATTACATTGTCGGATTTAGATGTGGTTGCAATTGGTATCATATCAACACTATTGTCAAGATTAGTTTTCGTATCATTAACTTGCTTTCCTGCCTATTATGTAAGTAAACCCATCAGAAATGCCCTGTCTGCGAACTTATTTATTAATCCAACATACTTGTAAGATTAATATCTCTTTATCATCGTTATTCTGATTGCATTCGTAATCGTGTTCCAACATATAAGTGTTCAAATCCTTTTCATGTAATTTTCTGCGATATTATACTTATATTAGTCACTAACCCATGTCTGCTCGTTATAGTATATAATTATATTCATATACAATAGCGAAATTGAATGTAACTATTTTACCCTTCGTGGTAAATTTGTTGCATACATATCTGGGGATTTATTACAACATGCCAAGGAAATACATTTGTCATAACCTATAACATAAATTTAAAAAGTGGTTAACTTTTAATATTAGGTTGACCATTGAAAAGTATTTAAAATTTTTTGTCTTACCATGCGAAAGATATCATAAGTCCTTCTCACATCGTTTTCACTTAGTATATTTGCAATACATGGGTCACCATGAATTTTACTACCGATAGCTCTAGTGATATCGACACAAAAATCGTTCTATATGAATGATGTACAGGATGATATTAGTGCAATATTTTAAAAATCTGCTTTTATGCAGTATATTACATAAAAGAGTCAAAATGCAGCATAATAATGGCCATGTCTTGAAACTTTTAATAATTGCTTACTAAATTAGAGTATTTTGTTCCCTTCGCTTTGGAAAGTATTTTCGTAAAATCTTTCGAAAATATTTCCTGCAACAGGATATGAAAAATAATTTTATTAAGCAATAAAGAAATATTTCATAAAATATATTTATACTCTATGATAAACACACAGATACTAGATAATAATCAACTGGCAGATAAAAACCTTGGTTTTCAAATTTTGTTTATCAGTCATTTCATGGATCGATTGTATCGTAGACAAAACCTATTACGGATATTGGTTTATTTATGACAGTTGCATTCAAATACAATCGCGGTTAGAGTTAATATAAGTTGGCCAAGGTGATAGTAATTGAGTTCGATGTCCCTACCTGTAAAATTAATTTATGTAAATGTTCATCAGCAATTCCTTTCCAACTAGGGGCACTTTTCTTAGTACATTGATCGCATGTGAATTGGTAGTCATCCGGTAAGTTCATTAATACTTCATACTGATTTACTGTTTGAAAGAGATAAAATAATAATCTAAGAATTATGTGACATTATTAATGATATAAACAAGTATATGTATTAATGTAGTTTTTAAAAACCTGTCATGTCTAGACACTTCGCATGAAACCAACCATCGCAGTTTTTGCAATAAAGAATTGATTCGATGCAAGAATCCTTATAAAAGCTTACGTTACACATTTTACAATATTCGCCTCTGTCTCTAAGGATACCGCACAATTGGCATAAAGTAAAATTATGCATCCACTGACTTTTCTTCTGAAGGAATAGACATGAAAATATAAACATAAACAAAAACAACTCGATTATGATTGAAGGCTAACCCTTGTTATAGCGTAGCTATAAACCAATCCACTGTAAAATTTGCTAGTAATAGAGTTTTACCTTTCCAGCACGAGTAGAGCCACAACTAATGCAG